TATATATATATATATCTTATTTTCAAGAAAATATACGAGAAAAATATATATTAATATGTAAATTATGATTTCTTTAAACTTATAAGTGAAAAAATTAGATTAGCCAATAAGAATAAATAAAAGACAGTTTCCTATTTTCAATGAAAGTAGACTTTGATGCAATGTTCTAATATGCAAATTTGCAAATACATTTTTTAGTTTTTATAGTCTGCACATTGATTACATATATAAATTTACCTAGCCAAATCTTTAATTGTGCTAATATCAATAATCCTGTAGTGTAAATAATTATCGACCAACGGCATATACTTCTTCAGGAATATACGATCCATATAAACTGAGTTTCCAGCCAATGGGCAAATTCCTTTCGGGATATGATTTTCCAAAAAATTCAATGTCCTTTGTTGTGCTTCCTCCAATGTAGTATTACTCAGTCGACATTCATCGATTAAGCCGTTCTAAAAGTAATTTGAATAAAAATTAATTATATATGCTCATAAATTGCAACTGATCGTATTGCTATAATATAAAAAAAAAGAAATTTTTCAAGGAAAAAAGATATTACATTTTTGTGTTGTACTTTACACCAATCAGACATATTCTCTAAAACTTTATTTGGTTGATGTACAACGAGATTTAAATAATCACTTGCAAGCTCTAATTGTTCATCAGTTATGAAGCATGCAACTTCCAAGATATGACATGTTTCCACCTCTAGTCCTGTCATCTAAAAAATTCCATCTTTAAAATTTTTTTCTTCTTTTTGTGCTGTTAGATATAATTTGTAATAATTGCACACCTCCATATCAAGCCAGACAATGTGCTTCTCATTTTTAATTTCATTTTGCGTTTCTGTTGGTGTCCAAATCGTATGGTCTACACAAAAAATAGAATATTCGTCAGGGAAACTTCAATTAAACTAAGTAAGTGAAAATTTCACTCTGGAATCGATGAAAATACAAACAAGACAACTTAGATTCGACATTCAATATTTATTAATTATTAAGAATTAATTCCACTTATATTGTTAATGAAATACTACAAATAAACCGTTTAACAAATTAATCAGAATTTTATCGAACAATGAGGCTTATTTCCACCAATGTAAATTAATCCTTAATTTACTTTTTATCAATCCTTTTTTGCTACAGATAAATCTAAAGCATAAGTTAATCAATACGAAAAAGGGATTTAAGATAAAGCTGATAGATATGTAAAGTAAGATAGTTTTCATCTTTTAAGCAGGCATTTCAGTAATTATGCAGAAAACGACCTCACCGATTTTAATGAAATTAGAAGACACGTTCGACACGTTTTTGCACGAAATGAACGAATCTGACAGAAAAAAGTGTCGCTCTGCTTCGTGAATTGAGATATTAAGCGTTAAAGTTCACGACTATTTAGGTTAGGAAATCTGTCATAGCATTTGTAACCATTAGAGACAATAATGCCATCCTGGATTCGATATGAGTTTTTACTGTCTCTAAAAAGACTGTTTTTACACTTTACTATCTTCATGGGTTAAAAATATTCCAAGCAGACAATGTCTAAGTTGCAACTTCTAGGCGATTAGGTCCCAAGCGGGTAAGATATATTATTTGCTTATTCTTTGGGGCGGCTTAGCCGTTCCGTTTCCGAATAAATTTACTGTCTACACACTCCATTGTCCACATGAATTATAGTGTCTGCTCGCATTGCTGGATTTCGCAGTTATAACAGATTTCCTAACCTACATAGTCGTCAACTTTAAAGGTAATATCTCGATTCGCGGAGCAGAGCGACATTTTTTTCGGTTAGATTCGTTCATTTCGTGCAAAAATACATCGAATGAGCCTAATTTTATTAAAATCAGTAAGAATCATTTTGCATAAAATCGGTAAGAATCGTTTCTGCATAATTACTGGCATTTCTTAATGAGATCTATACAACAATCATAATTACCGTTTTTTAAACAACGTTGAGCTCTACGATATAGGTACCTAGAGAGCAATCCAGTAACGTTCGTAAAGATCATATTCGTTGTTTTTAAACCAACTTAACCTTATCACATCGTTGGGAATTGTATTGCATACACCGTACACAGAAAAAATGTAAAATTGTTCGTACTATATAAATTACGCCACTTAATTCCACCGCAATTTCGATCATTCAAAAATAAATCTGTACTAAACAACAACTCGATGACAACTCCTAAACGAAAATTAAAATTAAAATTCGATCATTCGCCAATACGTTGGAAAATCAATCAACTGATGGAACAGTGAAACCTGGAACATATTTGTTCTGTACTTAAAATGAAATAAATATGTTTGAAATTTGATAAAAGCGAAAAGGAAAATTTTTTATGTAAATAAAATTCTATTATGTAAATAAAAAAAAGTCGAAACGTTCTTTAATTATTGTTTAAAAAATTAGTTTAATCCTCTCTTCTTAATTAATTTTGATATTTAACAAACTAGTTTTTATTTCTTGCCTCGTTTCTGATCTCTCTATCACTTATTATATTGCTTAGCAATTTCGAGCTTGAAAATTGATTAATAAAAAAAAAATTTTAATTGGAACATAGGGTACATTCTGTTTCACACATAATGCTTCATTTTTTTTTCTTTATTCTTGTTGTTTACCGAATGTTAAACAAGGATAAATGATACATTACGCACATCATGCGTGAAACAGAAAGTTTGTACCTATAATGAACTGGAATAAGGAACTTGGAATGCACGTGTCTTGAAGAATCTCGGCTGCGATTGGTTAATTTATTTCCATTCCTTTGTATATTACAGCTTTTCATCGACGAACATATAATAGTAACGAAAAGAAAAATCCATTATCTCGCTATTTCTCATACGATCTGATTTTTAAATAGTACACATGTATCTTCTTCTCTTTGAATTTAATGTTTTCCGAGGAAGTAGGATGTTGATGATATGTACTCTTGAAGAAATAACTGTACGTCAACAGCCCCTGTGGCCTAATGGATAAGGCATCGGTCTCCTAAACCGGGGATTGTGGGTTCGAGTCCCACCAGGGGTACAATTGCTTTTTACGATTCCCGATCTTTTTTTTTTTCTTTAAAAAAGAAACAAAAAGGTTTTTGTTGCCGCATTACAATTAATTCCCTTTCAAAATTTGCTTTTAAATTTCAAACGTGTATCTATTTTATTAAGGATCAGAAATATATATAGGTATATGTTTGTGCAAAAAATGATTGGAATTGGAAACTTATACTTTCTGTAAAAAAAATAATATATGCATATAAGAAAGTTCATTAAGTCTTTATATATTATAAATATATTTATATATTAATAATATCATTTGATAGTTTAAATAAAAATGTTTTTATATTATGTTTTTATATTTTTTAAAAACATGTTTACTTCTTATATTGAAATAATTTTTTATCCAAACCCTAAATTATCATCAGATTTTTGTATTATTTTCGAACATAATATAGAAAAATCTGCAATTTTTTTCATTTTGTTAAACAGTACTTTTAATACATGATTCTTAAATACAAAAAATGTTTAAATACAAAAATTATTTTAGTTATGAAAAGAAACCTCATTAAAATACAGGAAACTTTTTTAAAGATTCTTAAATCTTAGCATTATAATAATAATTCTTTTAATAAGAGTTAATATAATATAATAATAATAATAATATAATAGTTGCAGACAAGGTTTTCACCATAAATTTTCACAGTATATCAGTGTAACCATGATGATATATAAATATCTTACTTGCATAAGTTATATTTCTAATTTGTATTTTATTTAGTCGTAGATATGCACAAAGTAAGAATGTATTCTACATAAACATCTTCATTAATATCTTAATTTCTCACACTAAACTCATCGTGCATTCACATTCTTAATCTTTATTTTTTTTTAAGTCTTTATAATCTGACTTTCTTCGTTTGCAGTATAATGTTTAATAAATCGTGCAGACGGATCGATAACGCCCTTTATCCAGCGTGGCATCCAGAAGTAAGGTATAAAACTTTCCGCTTGTCCCTCATAATGCGATTCGAAGACATTTCTAACAAAAACAAAAATAATGTATTATTTAATTCAGTCGAATGACGAGAAAGTTTGCTTATTGAAAAGATATTTCTATTTTATTACCTGTAGTAGTATGATTCTTTCGTTCTTGGAGTGCAATGGGGATACTTGATATAAGCATTCTTCAAATCCTCATTTGAAACGCGATCTTCTATGATTTCTTGAATTATTTGGAAAAGAGATTTCTTTATAGAAGCAACGCCATCACTGAAGGCCTCTTTATGCCTCCAAAGTATATTGTTAGGCAGTAAACCAGTTCCGTCAAACGCAGATCTTAACAAATGCTTTTCAATTCCACCTGCACATAAATATCAAATAATATTATTATTTACTAATAGTATTTATCAAAATTTTCATTTATACGCTAATAAATAATTTAATTTGTAATATTCATCATTTGCAACAATAAGTCTATTTTTTTC